GGAAATGTTGTACATATACACTGTGGAATACTATGCAGCCTTAAAAAGAATGAAATCCTTTGCAGCAACATGGATGCAGTCAGAGGTCACTTTCTTTTTTTTTTTTTTGAGATGGAGTTTCACTCTTGTTACCCAGGTTGGAGTGCAATGGCGCGATTTCGGCTCACCACAACCTCCGCCTCCTGGGTTCAGGTAATTCTCCTGCCTCAGCCTCCTGAGTAGCTGGGATTACAGGCACGCGCCACCATGCCCAGCTAATTTTTTGTATTTTTAGTAGAGACGGGGTTTCACCATGTTGACCAGGATGGTCTCGATCTCCTGACCTCGTGATTGACCCGCCTCAGCCTCCCAAAATGCTGGGATTACAGGCATGAGCCACCAAGCCTGGACCAGAGGTCACTTTCTTAATGAGTTAATACAGGAACAGAAAACCAAATACCACGTTCTCCCTTATAAATGAAAGCAAAACACTGAGTACACAGGGACACAAAGAGTGGACCAGACCACACAGGGGCCTACTTCAGGGAGAAGGGTGGGAGAGAGGTGAGGGTCAGAAAACTGCCTATTGAGTTCTATGCTTACAATCTGGGTGATAAAATCATTTGTACACCATACTGCAGTGACATGCAATTTACTGATGTAGCAAATATGCACATGTATCCCTGAAACTAAAAGTTGAGAAAGGTGGAAAAACAAAAAGAAAGAAATCTTGGCCGGGCGCGGTGGCTCAAGCCTGTAATCCCAGCACTTTGGGAGGCTGAAGCGGGTGGATCACGAGGTCAAGAGATCGAGACCATCCTGGTCAACGTGGTGAAACCTCGTCTCTACTAAAAATACAAAAAGTAGCTGGGCATGGTGGTGCGTGCCTGTAATCCCAGCTACTCAGGAGGCTGAGGCAGGAGAATTGCCTGAACCCAGGAGGTGGAGGTTGCGGTGAGCTGAGATCGCGCCATTGCACTCCAGCCTGGGTAACAAGAGCGAAACTCCGTCTCAAAAAAAAAAAAAAAAAAAGAAAAGAAAAAGAAACCTTATACTCATTACCAGTCACTGTCCCATTTCTCCCCAACCCGCTCCATTCCTGGCCTCCTCAGCCACAGGCCACCACTAATCCGCTTTGTTTTGCTTTTTTTTTTTTAAGACGGAGTTTCGCTCTCGTTACCCAGTCTGGAGTGCAATGGCGCGATCTCGGCTCACCGCAACCTCCGCCTCCTGGGTTCAGGCAATTCTCCTGCCTCAGCCTCCTGAGTAGCTGGGATTACAGGCATGTGCCACCATGTCCAGCTAATTTTTTGTATTTTTAGTAGAGACGGGGTTTCACCATGTTGACCAGGATGGTCTCGATCTCTTGACCTCGTGATCCACCTGCCTCGGCCTCCCAAAGTGCTGGGATTACAGGCTTGAGCCACCGCGCCTGGCCTAATCCACTTTGTTTTTATAGAATTACCCATTCTGGACTTTTCACATAGAGTAGGCGTCCCCAAACTACGGCCCCACGGGCCACATGCGGCCCCCTGAGGCCATTTATCCGGTCCTCCGCTGCACTTCAGGAAGGGGCACCTCTTTCATTGGTGGTCAGTGAGAGGAGCACAGTATGTGGCAGCCCTCCAACGGTCTGAGGGACAGTGAACTGGCCCCCTGTGTAAAAAGTTTGGGGACGCCTGACATAGAGGAAAACACTTGACATATGGAAAAGGAGCATGTCCTAACACTAATCCCAAAGCAGCATATCAGAAATGGGGGGTTAAAAAGCCACTTTAAGGCCATCAACTGGTGGAGTTACCTTCTGTCGAGTTCTAACAAGGGAAAAGGAGTCAGGCTGGTGGAAGCAGGAGAAAGTAAAAAGAAAAGGCAGGTAAGCGCCGGGCGCGGTGGCTCAAGCCTGTAATCCCAGCACTTTGGGAGGCCAAGGCGGGTGGATCACGAGTTCAAAAGATCGAGACCATCCTGGTCAACATGGTGAAACCCCGTCTCTACTAAAAATACAAAAAACTAGCTGGGCATGGTGGCGCGTGCCTGTAATCCCAGCTACTCAGGAGGCTGAGGCAGGAGAATTGCCTGAACCCAGGAGGCGGAGGTTGCGGTGAGCCGAGATCGCGCCATTGCACTCCAGCCTGGGTAACAAGAGCGAAACTCCGTCTCAAAAAAAAAAAAAAAAAAAAAAAAAAAAAAAAAGAAAAGGCAGGTAAGCTACAAGTCTGCCTTTCTTCATGGTGTATCCCTCCTGCACAACTCACAGAGCTCACCACAAACACCTCAGCTGATAGGAAAATGCAAATTAGCTTACTGCAACCTTGGCATTATCAGTACAGCATGTAGCACTCTGCAGCCCAAGAACTATCCTATAAAATTCCCAGCAAGCCTTTTGTCTCCTGGCAGTCAGCTCCACTCTTGCTGATATACCTGCTGCTTTCTTGCAACACATTTTCCTTCTTTAATAACTCTGCCTTTCTTTATCTACAAAGGTCTTGGTAAACTCTTTTTACTGCCTGTGCGATAGCCAGATAGTCACTACCCATTATACCATGAGCTTTTACTTCCAATGTTTCTGATCACAAATCTAAGGCAATTCCCAATGGCTTTTCTAAATTCTTATACCCCTGGAACTCTACACCAACTGTACTTAGACCTCTAGATACATTTATTATCCCTCTATCTCCAACCCTTGGATCATTTTAATCTGGGAACCAGGAATATCAGATATGCATCCTTCCAGCATTAGCCCAAGAGAAAATGGTATAAAACTTGAAAGCAGGACTATTCATGGGAAGGAGGACATGAATGCAACATTTTGGCCACATCCAAATTTCAAAACTTTCTGTTTATGAACCTTCATAGACTTCCACCTAGAAATGGGTAGAATTTCCTGCTGATTTCCTGTTATTATGCACATTCATGTCAATTGTCCGCAAAATCACTTCTGTTGCCCTAGTAGGATCGACGGCTTTTCCCAAATACAGGGTTAAATAAGCCATAAAAGCAATTTCCACAAACTCTGAAAGTCAATATGGAAGGAACTTACTCACTAACCAGGATTACCAAATCGGAGCTCAACAGTAATGGAAATTCACCAAATTAAAATAGAAACAAAACTACATATCTAGAAAAAAACACTTAACAAACCTTCAATGAAAAAGCCAATATAAATAAAAACTTTGAATTATTTAATATTAAATAGCAAAGGAAGCAGTATATATGAAAACTTATGCTATCCTGGAGTATAAGAAAGTAATTTAACTTTTTTTTTTTTTTTTTTTTTGAGACGGAGTTTCGCTCTTGTTACCCAGGCTGGAGTGCAATGGCACGATCTCGGCTCACCACAACCTCCACATCCTGGGTTCAGGCAATTCTCCTGCCTCAGACTCCTGAGTACCTGGGATTACAGGCACGCGCCACCATGCCCAGCGAATTTTTTGTATTTTTAGTAGAGACGGGGTTTCACCATGTTGACCAGGATGGTCTCGATCTCTTGACCTCGTGATCCACCCGCCTCAGCCTCCCAAAGTGCTGGGATTACAAGCTTGAGCCACCGCGCCCAGCAGTAATTTAACTTTTAAATATTTATTACAGATAAGTATGGAGAATCTGGATAATCAGAAAACCATGTTACTGAAAAGTACAAGCATATATATCAATCAAGTCTGTTCAAATTAATGCATATATTTAATGTGATAACTCATCTTTCCACTGGTTCCTAACCACCTGATGTGACACTATTACAACAATGAAGAAAATATATAATCAACTTATATAGAAATGTTTTAAATTACAAATTTAGTAATAAAATCAAAGTAGATTTATACAGATTATACCAAATGTGAAGATAGTATAAAAAGGCTTTTAAAAACAAACACGGGGCCGGGCACGGTGGATCACACCTGCAATCCCAGCACTTTGAGAGGCCGAGGCGGGTGGTTCACTTGAGGTCAGGAGTTGGACCTGGTGGTTCACTTGAGGTCAGGAGCCTGACCAACATGGTGAAATCCCGCCTCTACTAAAAAGTACAAAAATTAGCTAGGCATGGTGGTGCACGCCTCTAATCCCAGCCACTCAGGAGGCTGGGGCAGGAGCACTGCTTGAACCCGGGAAGCAGAGGTTGCAGTCTGCCAGTATCACGACACGGCACTACAGTATGAGTGACAGAGAGAGATTCCGGGGGGCGGGGGTGGTGGTGGTGGAAAAAGAACGGAAGGGTTTTTCCTAAGAATAAGAGTTTAGAGTGATGGAAATGTTTTTATTTGTGTCTAAATGAACCTGACTGAAAGGAAAAATACAAGAAAACTGCAGAAACATGGAGACAAGAAAAACAAAAGGCACATGGTTTATAGCAACACATCACTAGAGTATAGCTTTATATTCCAAGGCTTAAAAAGAAAAAAAAAAAAAAGATATATCTGACCACTGTTAGCAAAAGAGTGACAGGCATGGTTACATGAGAAAAGAGAGTTTTGTTGTTTGAGACAGGGTCTCTCACTGTCCCTCAGGCTGGAATGCAGTGGCAGGAGCTCCTCACTGTAGCCTCCTCAAGCGATCCTCCTACCTCAGTCTCCCGAGTCGCTAGGATACCCACAGAGCTCCACCAACTGTTCTTTGACCTCTGGATACATATATTACCCCTTTATCTCCCACCCTTCAATCATTTTACTCTGAGAACCAGGAATATCAGATCTGCATGTCACTACGCCTGCTAATTTTTTAAATGTTCTATAGAAACCGGGGTCCACTGACGCCTCTTCTCATGTCTCAGTCTCACATGAAGTCTCAAACCTGGACGAAAAACCGCCGTCACTGGCACCCTTGCCACCCAGCTTTCAATCACGGAGCGTCAAAGGTAAGATCTCTCCCGCAGACACCAAACCCCGGCAGTCGGACCCGCGACCTTTCATCCCTTCAGAGCCTTGAACCACTGACCACTAAAGGGCCCATCGCGAAATCACCAGGATTGTCCGGCGGCCGAATCACAAGAAACCCCCAGGACAGGGTCTTCCACCCAGGCTCCTCACCTGGGGTTAAGTTCGCCAAATCCTAAGCTTCTCAGGACTCTGCTGGCATCTGCCAGGGGCTGAACCCCCTTCCTAAGCCACGTGCCACCCCACGGGTCCTGCGTGGCTGCCGCCCGGAAGTCGCTACAGACGCCGTCTGCCCGCGCGCGGACCAGATAGTTATAGGCTCTGTGTCGTAACGTGGCCACGCCCACGGGGCGGACCTTACGGCTGCTGTCGCGCAGCGCGGTGAGAGGAAATTGTAAACCCTTTACGGCACCACGTTGCCTGAATCCCCGTCATCAGTAAGGATCGCTGTGCTGAGTAAATTTTCAGGGGCCAGAGCCTATTCGAGGCCAATATGGAGCGGCTTACGTTTTCAGCCTTTTGGGGAAAATGGGAAGTTGGCGATGCCCGGGGGCCGTTAGAGCACCGTGGGTGCGGCCATCTTAAGGAAGGCCGCTGTCCGTGTGGCTCAGAAGACCCCAGCTTGCCTCTGGTTGGAGGCGCCTTTGGATGACACAGGTTTGTAGGACTGAGACGTTGCTGGGGAGGCAGAGGTCACCACGTGGACATAAACACTGAACAGTTGGAGCCCTGGGGATATTTGGAAATGAGGCGGGGATGGGAATGAGAATGAGTGAAGCTGGTCTGGATGAGGTTGGTCACAGAACTGCTAAAAGAGCGGAGCCAAAGGTGAGGACCCGGCTCTGTGAACCAGATGCCGTCCAGTGTCCTGGAAACGTTAACTACCTCCAGCGAGGAGGGGAAAGAGGTGAGCCTCAAATATACGCACGTTTCCCTAAAAAATAAAGGGCATTTGTGAGCGATTTAATAATGAGATGCTACTTTGTTTGGCGTCGTCCCCAATTTTAAAAATCAACAGCACACGCAAAAGAAACGTTAGCTATTTAGACAAGCAAGGAAGGTGGATAGTAAAGGAAATAATTTTTGCATCCTTTTTTGGAGGACAACTTGGAATTATCTGTACAATTTAAATTTTTTACTCATTTTTGATCCGGCAATCCCAATTTTAAAATTTCAATTAAAATTTTTTGGCCGGGCGCGGTGGCTCAAGCCTGTAATCCCAGCACTTTGGGAGGCCGAGGCGGGTGGATCACGAGGTCAAGAGATCCAGACCATCCTGGTCAACATGGTGAAACCCCGTCTCTACTAAAAATACAAAAAATTAGCTGGGCATGGTGGCGCGTGCCTGTAATGCCAGCTACTCAGGAGGCTGAGGCAGGAGAATTGCCTGAACCCAGAAGGCAGAGGTTGCGGTGAGCCGAGATCGCGCCATTGCACTCCAGCCTGGGTAACAAGAGCGAAACTCCATCTCAAAAAAAAAAAAAACTTTTAATAGCCGGGCGCAGTGGCTCACGCCTGTAATCCCAGCACTTTGGGAGACCGAGGCGGGTGGATCACGAGGTGAAGAGATCGAGACCATCCTGGTCAACATGGCGAAACCCCATCTCTACTAAAAATACAAAAAATTAGCTGGGCATGGTGGCGCGTGCCTGTAATCCCAGCTACTCAGGAGGCTGAGGCAGAATTGCCTGAACCCAGGAGGCGGAGGTTGCGGTGAGCCGAGATGGCGCCATTGCACTCCAGCCTGGGTAACAAGAGCGAAACTCCATCTCAAAAAAAAAGAAATATATTTGTTTAAGCCACTCTAATCACACAAAAATTGTGACAATTCCATTCTTTACAGCTCTCATTCCCTTCAATGACAAAATAACTTTAACCTACTATTTCATACATTCACTCTCCAAATCAATATATAATTAGTTTTGTTTTTCTATGTGTTGGGAAATACTAGATCATGCAAACCAGCCTCTCCAGCATAACTTTCTGGGACGCTGGAAATGATGACAAAGAGTCCCCATTACGTCCAAGTTCTGCTCACTGTGCTGCCCAGTTTGGTAGCCGCTACTCACATCCAGCTCTTGAGCAGTGAGGGAATTGAATTTTTAAAGTTTGTGTTCAGTTTCTTTAATTCTAACATTTAAGTACCCACAAGACTGAGCAGGGAATCTGTAATTTCTTGGAGAGATAAGATGTGGGCATTAAAAAAAAAAAAACAAAAACCCTCATTTTTGTACTAAGGTGCTTAAGTACCATTAACAGCAGTCCTTATGCTACTCCTTGGACAATAAATTATCATGTCCCCTAGACAGTTACTCCATGTCCATTTCACAGAATGTAGATATTTGCATCCCCTGACTAGATTAGCTGAATGTAATGATACAACTTAAAGATAACCCCACAAACTCTCCAGGAGACCACAAACTTTTTCTTCCTTGTTTACCACTATGACCTCAGCTCCTGGAACAGGACAGGGTACAAAGGAAATACTTTTTAAATATTTGTTTAATGAAACAAATTGATTATTGTTTCAGAGATTCCTCTGCATAATATAAAGTTCTGAAAGTTTACGGTCCTGGTTTTCAATTAATCCTTCACACTGATCTAAGGAAACTAAATTGACACATACATGTCCCACATCCCACCAATCCAGTAGTAGCCCTTTCCCATCAACTGCCCCTTTCGGGGCTTTTCAGTCACTGCAACACTCCAGATACCAGTGATCTCATCTGTCTGAAAAATTCGCAGTACTTAATTTCCTCCACTTAAAAGTACCTGGGCTTCTTTCATTTAATTGACACAGAGCAATGGCTGTGCATGTGCATAGGGTAACATTAGATTTTGCCTTTGTTATCACAGCATATTTTAAATAGGATGAGTTTATCAGGCTTTTGCAGCCTTACACACTTTCTCTCAGTGTATACTTTTAAGCCACATAATGAACTACAAATTTTTGCTCAACCCTTTTCCACATAGATCTGTGCTTTCTTCCTATGAGTTTTCTGTAACATAAAATAAGACATAATTGATCACGGAAGGCACGACTACATTCACGGCATTCACAAGGTGTCTGTCCTGTGCAAATCCTCTGATATCTCCTGAGGCTGCACATCTGACCACTGGCTGTCCCACAAGGACTACGTTCCTGTTTGCTAGGAGGCCACTGATGTTTAATGATGTCTGAGGGGCCATGGAAGGCAGTTGTGTAGTCACCATGCCAGCAGAGTTTTTCTCCTGCATGACATCACTGGTGTGTAATAAGCTGTGCCTGTCTGCAGGAGGATTTTCCACCTTGGCTGCCTCTTGTTTCTCCCTTGTGTGTATTCTCTTATGCTTAACCAGGCACGACATATAGGCAAAAGCTTTCCCACACTCATTACAGCCGTAAGGTCTCTCTCCTGTATGAGTCCTTTGATGGACAATGAGCTTTTGCTTTGTGCTAAAGGCTTTCCCACATTCACTGCATTCAAAGGGTTTCTCTCCTGTATGAATTCTTTGATGTTTAATGAGACCTGATTTCTGAGAACAGGATTTTCCACATTCACTGCACACAAACGGCGTCTTTCCTGTGTGAAATCTCTGATGTGCTATGAGGCAAGTCTTCTGAATGAAGCCTTTTCCACATTCATTGCATATATAAGGTTTCTCACCTGTATGAATTCGCTGGTGTACAATGAGATTTCCTTTCTGGATGAAGCCTTTCCCACATTCATTGCATATATAGGGTTTCTCTCCTGTATGTGTTTTCTGATGTATGTTGAGCCGTGACTTCTTGAGAAAGGCTTTGCCACATTCAGGGCATTCATACGGTTTTTCTCCTGTATGAGTTCTTTGATGTTCAGTGAGCATGAACTTTCTGGAGAAGGCTTTCTCACATAGACTACATCTGTGGGGTTTCTCTCCTGTATGCATTACCTGGTGATCAGTTAGCCAAGACTTCTTGATGAAGGCTTTCCCACATTCACTGCATATATGATGCTTCTCTAATTTTCGAGTTTTCTGATGCTTCGGATTGATGAATTGGGACTTAGTGCTGATGGATTTTTGACTTGCAGGAAATTTAATTGCAGTATGAAATCGTTCATGGTTGGCATGAAGAAAGGAGTCCCCATTTCCTGTAAACTCAGCAGAGTCCTTTATTTCATAGCGTTTGTTCTGGTTAACTAAAGTTAAATTCGATTTCGAACTTTTTCTATGTAAGTCAAATATATCATGACTTTGCCCTAGCAGAAACTGACTTTTGCTCCAATGAAGAATATTTTCAAATGCATCATTTTCATGACATTGTTTCCTTCTGTTTAATAGGCGTTCATGCTGTAAGTGCTCCAGCACATGATCATCAAATTTCCAGATTTCTAGAAAGAAAAGAACAAAGCTTTCCATCATTTTATTTGGAGTAAAAGTTTGTTTGTTTATTTTAGATGGAGTTTTGCTCTACTGCCCAGCTTGGAGTGCACTGCTGTGATCTCGGCTCACTGCAACCTCTACCTCCCAGGTTCAAGCAATTCTCCCCTCAGCCTCCCAAGTAGCTGGGATTACAGGTGCCTACCACCATGCCCAGCTAATTTTGTACATTTAGTAGAGATGGGGTTTTACCATGTTAGCCAGGCTGATCTCGAATTCCTAAACTCAGGTAATCTGCCTGCCTCAGTCTCCCAAAGTGCTGGGATTACAGGCGTGAGCTACTGTGCCTGGCCCCAAAGTATTGTTTTTTTTTTTTGTTTTTTTTTTTGAGAGGGAGTTTCGCTCTTGTTACCCAGGCTGGAGTGCAATGGCGCGATCTCGGCTCATCACAACCTCCGCCTCCTGGGTTCAGGCAATTCTCCTGCCTCAGCCTCCTGAGTAGCTAGGACTACAGGCACGCGCCACCATGCCCAGCTAATTTTTGTATTTTTAGTAGAGACGGGGTTTCACCATGTTGACCAGGATGGTCTCGATCTCTTGACCTCGTGATCCACCCACCTCGGCCTCCCAAAGTGCTGGGATTACAGGCGTGAGCCACCGCGCCCGGCCCAAAGTATTGTTTTTAATGCCTTGATGTGAAGTGTCTCTTTAGTACTAACCGTATGATCTCAGTGTAAATAAAACTTCATGTTCAATGTTCCTTGAACATTGGCAAAAAAGAATAATATAAACAAACTAAAAGGTAAAAAGCAGTTAGCATAAAAACAAGGTTAGATAACTAACAATTAAGACAGATTTGGCTGCTTTCTAAATATGCCTTGCAAAACAAAGACCTTAAAATACAAGCAATTTACTGTGACCAGCAGACCAGAGGTTGGAGGGGGCCGCTTCATCCAAAGGACAGATTTATTAATTCCACACACTCTTACTGAATGAACACCATGGGCCAGGCAAGGTGCTAGTGTTGGGGATAGGCATGAGAATCGCTTGAACCTAGGAGGCAGAGGTTGCAGTGAGCCAAGAT